CAACGCTGCAAGCCTCGATTCGTAGGTACAGGCCGAGGCAGGGTCAGGCCGAGTCGAAACGCTGGTGGTCTCAATGCGAGGCATCCGACGTATGGGCCTACCTCTCTCGGCTGGGACCGCACATGAAATCTGTTTCTGCAACTTTCGGCGCGGCCCGACGCCTTTCCGCAGGTTCCGAAGGATCTCAATACCCTTGGGCGTCGGCTTGATGCAAGGTGCCCTGAAATTTTGGCGACGTCGCATTTGGGCCCGGGCACCGCATTTCGTGCACACAAAAAAATACCAATGACACCAACAATCGGTTCGCATGTCCCGCCCGACTGGTGTACGACGAGGAGGACATGGCCGTTCGGCCGAGCAAAATACTCACGGAGGAAAACTGGGGCACCCCTGCATCCCGTGAGGACCTAATCTGTAGCACAATCCTGAAGCACTGACAGGCGGCAGCGGCACTGCACTCCAATCTCAGTTCTACACCAGTCGCGCTGACCCTCCTACCTCACATTCCTGCTCCTCCGAAACACAGCCAACCTCCTCCAACGCTCTTCCTAGTCATAGCATGGGAGGGCGGCGGCGGCAAGGCGCACCAGGAAGCTGGTCGCCTCGCCCTGTCTATCCACAGACTGCAAGAATTCATGACCTGCGGCAAAATGCATGAGCACCGCTTCCTGCGCAAAACGGTATGCCGCGATGCTCGTATCTGTTATTCGGCGCCGTGCTGCACTGAGGCGTGCATACTCGTCGCTCGTGCGGTGTGCTTTCACGTGCTCAGCCTCGCTCAAGCGCGCGTGCCCAGGATGAGACTGTCCGAACACCTGCACACATGCGCATGCAGAACGAGACTCTCGCTGGCGCTCAGGAGACTTCCGCGCAGCGAACACAGCGCCGAGGAAATCGAAGTACATCGTGGTCCGCCTGTCCGCGAGCTGGCCGCATTAGGCTAGCCCCACATACTCTGCAACGGCGAGCGTCTGTGGCACAGCAGGAGGAACAGTGCCATGCACTGCCAGAAGCGGACCAGGCCCATCAGGAGTCAGTAGCACAATGGCCCAGCCTGCACGCTGCAGGTCCAGTAGAGCAGGCTTGGCGCGTGATCCGTCAGGCGCCAGCTCTAGCATTGAAGCTCCATCACAAGCATGCTGAGCCACCCCTTCAGGTTCAATGCCACTGTCTCCACCATCCATGTTGACTACCTTCGCCTCGGTTCCAGGCGCCAGCGCTGGAAGGTCACTTTCCAAGAAGTCAATGGAGCCATGTGTGAAGAAACCAGACTAGTGCTCGTCGATGCCCCGCTGAATGAACAAGGCCCGCACGCCCGACTCTCTTCTGGCAGCCGCAGCGTCAGGTCGTCGGCACGTGAAGAGTCGATGGTCTATCGTATCTGGTCCACCACACTCGCAGCCTACCATCAATGTCGCATCCTCGAAGTCGTGCAGGCCCACGTGTCCAGCACCCTCCAATTGCGAACGCCTTAACTAAGCACTTGTGAAACGAGGAAAATGTCGAGTTCCGCTCTCTGGCATGCGGCCGTAGTGGATCATAACTTGCCCGCGTGCCCTCAGAGAGACCACGCTTGACTGCAAAATTGAGCTCGTGTTGTCGTTGAAGGGCCTGGGGCATAATACGTTCAAGCACTCGAGGTGTGAACTGTTGAAGCGGGACTCGATTAACGCGGTGACCAATCCAAAAGTCCCACTGCAAAAATGGCCAGACAACTCTGCGAACACACAATGCAGCACGCTCGAGAGGCCCCCGTGACGACGACCATGCCAAGTCGGCAAGCATTCTTTCTTGCAGAGCCTGCTGCCACCACTGGCGCAACTGATCAGGCCCCACCATTGCCGTATCAGGGGGAACAACTGCGTTCCAAATTTCCAATCGTTCTAGATTGCTGCGAAGCAGGAGCAATAGTTCGTCGTGCAGCAAGGTCTCCAAATATCACAACTGTAGCACTTACTGATGTCCCTCCATGGCATGGTCTCACAAACTGGAACTACAGCTTCCGTAGAGAAATCCATTCAGCATCTGCAAGGCAAGAAATCTCATCTCCATGCATAAGAGCAGGCCTTGCTCCAGTCCTGAAGATATTCCCAGCCCTTGCAACCTTCTGCGTTGGAAGAGTACGTCGGTAGCGAGCAGGCTCACGCATCCTCTGACTGAAGCGACGGCGCCGGCCATGCTCCTCATTCCTGGTTGAAGCTGCACATCTCGAGCTTCATCCAGCCTGATCGGCGCCAAGGTAGGCAGCTGAACGCTTGCCTGCCGAACCAGAAGGCCGAATTCTTCAGCAACTAAACTACCAACTCCACTGTGAGAACATATCATAGCTAACTTGTCGTTGGTCGTGGCGGCAAGGCGATTAACTGTAACGAAGAAGCTACATCGAATCCGTGCGGCTGCACTGATCAACTCCTCATTGGCGTCCGCCTCCACTCGAAGACTACTATCATCTATGTAAGATGAGAGCAACAGTTCACTGTGCAAAGGGACGAAAAGGTCGCACTCCTCTGGCGCGTGAACTTTGATACCGACATCTGCATGCGCATCGCCAGCAGGGAAACCACGAAGAGCATGAACTGGTTGACGAATGTGGTGACGCATGAGACGGGCGATACGAGGGGCCGGCCAAATGTTGAAGGGCAAATTCGTTAAACTCGTCGGGGCCCCGTGCATTCAAAATTGCTTTCGTGCTTCAAACAACTCAACTGTCTCGCAATAGTTGCTGTAGCACGCGATGGTTTGGAGGCTCTTGCGGTTCTCCTGCAAACACGCGCCCACCCGAGCAGCAACTTGCCAAGTCGAATCAATCGCACATCGCCCTTTCAGAAGCTCCCCAACATACTCGCGAAAGCAACTGTTGCAGCTGGTCAAGGGCAGGACGGCGAAGCCGTTGCCACACTCGATACACGGATCCATATTGCACAATCGATCTGCGCGCCCCAAGTGGCTTGGGGAGCATCAGCGTGCAGATCCACAACATCTACTTCGGCAGAACTCCCGGTGACTCGATCGCCTCAAAGAAGATGCCCAGAATCGCTAGGCCCCCGTCGCTCAGCAACAGAAGGTGGCGTGGATGAATCCCGTCAAGACTACCAGCTGTCGAAGGGGAAAAGGTTTGCGCAAATTTTCGGATATCCGTGGCACTTGCCCTTGGCATCGAACTTCTGTCAGGAATCCAGGCCTTCGGTGCAGCCGCGGTCTCATTCCAAAGCTTGCAATACTCGTCGCCGTAGCCTCAACAAGGGCATGGGGATGAGCTGAAGGACGTCCGTCTGGAGACCGCGAGACAGTCGTCTCCTGAACTTGCTTGGCCTGCGTAATTAGACGTAAACCACGCGCGACCCCCGCAGCAGCTTCATCGCACCAGTCTCGCCATCGTGCAGAGGACTCTTTACCAGCTGCCTGTTGAACAGCACCAGCATCTCCGTCAACATCCTCAAGGAAGTCTCGCACGGCGCCAGGGAAGAAACGCCCTGCTGTGATTCTGCGCGCCCGCCCCGCGCCAACATCAAGTCTTTGACTTAGGTTGAATCCAAGATGCAACGAAATCTGGAACAGCACCAACACGCCCTCAAGTGGAACATGCTTCTGCGCACCGCCGTCAATGGCTCCTTGCTTCAGCAAGCTGATGCCAAGTAAAGCATCGCAGAGCCTTCCAGCCATCGGCCTGATCTTCAAGTCCTCGTGCAGCTCTTCCTTCATATGTGATGTCCATCCACTGGGGCCGGGCATAAGATTCGCTGCGCCGAACTTGTGCACCTGTCGCGCGCCCAATCCTCTCAGCCGCCTTGGAGACGGACTGGCCCGAAGCGAGTGTCAAGAGGCCCCATGCAGAGTCGGCGTCCGCCTCCTTCGACATCTCAAGGGCTTGTTCAGCATAGCTTTGCTCCAGGGACCAGTCAAGATCCTCAAAGGAAGGCCCCGCAGCAGGGGCAAACGCTAACTTGGGCATAACTGAATAATCTAAAACTTGAAGCCGCTGTCCAGGCGCCACCATGGTAAGTTGGACAGGTCGGTGAGGCTTCTTGCCCCACGTGGCGTCAACTTTTACTGCTTGTCGCAATCTGCGCGCACCAGCACTGAGATACAATAAATGCATCGCGCTTGCTCCTGTCGCCATCTTGCATGTCGCGGAAGCTGGCGCCACTATTGATGCCTGAGCTTGAGCAAAGAACTTGGACATGTCCAAAACTCTCGTGTCAACATAGCAAATCGCCACCAATGGTACTCGGAGATGTCAGATCAACAAGGGGTTGTCCAATGCTAGCCAGAACTATTGAAATCTCTTCCCGTCAAACCTTCGACACAGTGCAGATACAGGTTTAATATGTTCATGGGCGGCCATCCTGGCACATCCACCTCAACGCGCAGCACGCGGTGGGCAGAAATAACGCCAGAGACACTATGGCCAGCGACAATCGGCCGACGAAGGCCGACTGCTTCACGTGCAGAAACAGCAACATCAGCAGCAGGAAGGTAGCCTTTTGCCGCATGACCAGATTCAATAATCGAACTCCATCCCCGCCGGCTTGCTCATGAAGGCAGGTCCTCGGCATTGCCGGCAACGTGCCCTATTTCTTGGGCGAACACCACCAGCGCACAAGTACGTTCCAATCGCTTCTTAAGAGTATCACGCCCCTGGATAGCGTTGAGCGTCTCCAAGGGCCTCGTCTGGAGCTGCTCGTCTCGCGGATCAGGAGCTCCACGAAAGTAACCAGCAGCCGCGGCGAGCCCGCTGACCCGTGGCAGATGGTCAGGTACACCCCATGCTTGCCTCTGCCAGCTTGCGGTGCTTGTTTTGATGGGAGCTGTTGACAAGGACGGCGAGCTTGTCAGGTCCAGCTTGTCCGCCCCTTCTTGCTGAGGTCGGGTCCAAAGCTCTTGTGCCTCCTCGGCGGTGATGTCAGGGGGAGGTCGCCTCTCTCCACCAGCAGCGGCATCGGTTGACCCGGCGCCAGGCTGGGGTACACTGCCATCAGGAGGATCAACATCAGTTGCACCGCCCATCTGGATATCTTTGGGCTCAGCCACATTCCCCACCGACTTGAACAACAGTGGCTGGAACTTGTTGAAGTTGTGGTGACTGCGGAGGTCGGCGAACAACTTCTGCATCTCAGGATTGTTCGAGATTTCGGGCGACGCTCCAAGCCTGGCGATCAAGTCTTCAAGCACACCTGCTTGCAATGGAGTTTCACCTCGCTGTTGACGAACTTTCGCGGCACTGGCCGCCACTTCAGCAGCAAAGACAACGATCTCTTTGGCCTTCGCCTCAATGGTCGTCTGCTTCCCGCGGATGTCATTCTGGATGGCCTCGAGCTTCTCGTTGAGCGCGGCCAACTCTTGCTCGAACTTCGTTGCTTGACCCTCGCAACGCTCAAGCTTCTGGGAGGCCGCCTTGTGTGCCGACACGGGTGGGCGTAAGGCGCGACGTTCCTCTCGAAGTTGGTCGAACCCCTTGCGTGCTGCAGGGAGACCGGGGTCGTTCTCATCCAGTTCTTTGGTGTTTCTGATATACTGGTCCAGGACGTCGATACGTTTCTGGAGAGCACACCTCTTCTCATTGGTCTTATCGGATTATGTGGGGTCCTTCGGCTTCTCGTCTGCCGTCTCAGGCGCTGCAGAGCCCTGAGCAGCCTTGAATCGCTTAAGCTCGGTCGTGAGATTCTCCATCTGCTTCTGCATCTGCTTGAATTGTTCACTCCATGGCGCAGGTACTGGCATGCCCTTACCTTTGCCTCAGCCTCAAGTTCCAGAGCGCTCGGGCGGGGCGGACGCAAGCTGCTGCATCTCGGCCTTGGCTGCCTTCCTCGCGCGTTGGATAACAGATGTTGGCGCATCTTGTCCGCACCTGCATTTGACTGTGCCTGCCCAGTTCGACGCCGTGCCGCAACTGGGGCATCCCCACGTCGGTTTCTTCGGTCCTGGCAACATGGGGCCTGGCAGCGCCATGAGGCTGGTCCTCTCGACCACGCCTGGTCGGCGCCACAAGCCTCCGTACCGAAGAAGATACTACGCTCCAACAGGAGCTCACTGAAGCCAAAATCAGCTCGCTGCGGCGGTGCCGCTCTGAAGATAGACCGCAGCAAACCCACCTGGGCCAGAACGGCTAGGAGGAGGAGGAGGAGGAGGAGGAGGAAGAGGAGGAGGAGGAGGAGGAGGAGGAGGAGGAGGAGGAGGGGGAGGAGGCGGAGGAGGAGGAGGAGGAGGAAGCGGGCGGGCATGTGGGAGAACGTAGGAGGGCAGCAGGCAGGCTTCTGCTGGGGGCGCACGTCTGGCCCAGGCGAGTGGTGCAGGAGCCTTGCTGCGGCACCCCGGCTTTGCGGACAAGAGTGGGGGGGCGCAGGGCGGCTCGCTGGGTAGATCGCGGGGTGGGTCGCGGGTGGTCGCGGCGGGGTGCGTCGCGGTGGCACGACAAGAAACAGCAAGAGTCCGCACCGCGGAACCCCCACGAACCCAGAGCCGGTCGAAGACGGCTCGGCCCCCCTCCCTCTGATGATATCCGCTACCGTGCCCTGGGGCACGAGTTTGAGTGTCCTCAGGTGTCTTGGAGTTCTCCGTCCTCAGCCCCGAGGGACTGAATATGAAAGGGCCCAAACCCCGAATGGCCGAATCTCCCAGGACTTTCCGTTTGTGCCTTCTGGGGCCCCCCGCGTGTGCTCGCACGACTTCTTCAAAGCCAGGAGGGCCCCGTGAACGGGCCAAGAGGCCCCCCGAGAGGCCCGGGAGGAAGTGCAAGACGGCCCAGAGTCTCCGAGAGACCGCTCCCCACCGAAGGATCGCCCCCAGACGCCCCAGGTGGCCTCCAGACGCCCAAGACCGCCCCGCGGCCGACGCCAGCGGGGCGTGCTTCCAGCACGGGCTCCCCTCGGGGTCCTTCTGACCCGGGTCAATCCAAACCCGGGTCAGTCAGGCCTTGCAGAATCCTGCAAGATCTTGCAAGATCCTGCACCCAAACCCGGGTCAATGCCAAGAATCCTGCAAGATCCTGCAGGATCCTGCACCCAAACCCGGGTCAGCGCGGCCCTGGCCTTGAAGAATCCTGCAAGATCCGGCGCTCTGGCTGACCCCCGTTTGCATTGACCCCCGTTTCCCTGCTCCCGATCCCCTCGGCCTCGCCCCCGACCGGTGATGGCTGTCCAGCCCGCCGCGGGGGCCTGGACCCGCGGGGGGATGGGGTGGGGCCTCCCTCCCCCGCGGGGGACCCCGCGATGCGGCCGCCGGCAGGCTGCCGCTCCCGACCGGAGAACCAGCGCGCGATCGGGGTCCTGGCCAGCAGCGTGCGTGCCTCTGCCCAGTCCTCGGGAGAGGCCAAGAGGGGGGTGTCCAAGAGGGGGGGGTGCAAACCATGACCGGCGGCATGTGCGCGGCCCAGCGGGGGGGCCAGGGACGTGATGAAGTAAGAAGAGGCGCCATGAGATCCGTGTAAATATCATGGCACCCGCCATGATATCCCCCCCCTAGTCATCACCCCCCTCTTTTCCGCCCCCGAAGTCCGCCCACCTCCAGCTCGAGGCCGGGTTCTTTCTTCTATCGTCGTCAATCCGAGAGTACGAAGCCAGGGCGAAGATGAATTCGGGGGAGGATCGATCGACCACCTCCCGCACGGGGGTTCGACCACCTCCCTGGCCAATGGGGGGTTCGACCACCTCCCTCACGGGAGCCCCACGAGTAGCCGCCAGATGGTGCACCTCACGGCAGCCACTCCCGACTGGAGCGGGCTCACAGTCAGGGCCCTGGCTTCACGCACCTTCCTTTGTGCAAGGTGGGCCCGTCCAGGACCTCCACCACTGCTTCTGCACCTGAGCCTGTTGGAAGATACGCCTCTGTGCGCCAAACCGTACGTACCGCCTGGCTGTCTCTACATTGCCCAAAATCCCAGAAATCTCAAACGCGCTGCCAGACCCGCAAGACCATACGCACCGCCTGGTTGTCTCTACACGTGTGCCGCATCCTCTCTCGGCTTGCTGCTGGCAGTCGTCTTAATTACCTGGCCCGAATTGGAAGCAGACGCAGCAACCAGATAATGAGGAGAGGAGCGAGTACCCTCGCAAGCCTGCCTAGAACGCATCCTGGAGGTCCGGAGGGGGGGGCGCCTTTGAGGCCCGACCAAGCGCAATCACAAACAGCGCCACAACGTTTCGCGCGCAATTGTTGTTCTCTGGCTTTGGGGTGTTTCGCGGCACCGGGGAAGGAGAACGTAAGCCGACAAGCAACGCCGCGTGCGCCGTCGTGCAGGATACCGCTGTTGGCATAAAAAACGCCCATCCACAGACATTGCGTCGACAGTGCCGGCCCCCGGACCCCCCATTTTAATGCTGCATTCGCGGCCGCTGTCGGGGTGCAAGCATCGGTATAAAAAGCGCCCAAAGTTCCACCGCCAAGGCAACCCCGTTTTCAACATTGAAATTTGGGGGCACGGGGGTTCTGAACACAGCAGCGTTATCCAATGTGCCTGGTGGGCGCCTTTTACGCCAGCGGCGGCCGGACGCCCATGCTCCAAGACGGGTGCACGCTCACACCGACTGGCATCTCTTTGGTCAGCGGAGAGCCCAGAATCGAATCGAAAAGTCGGATCGGCGATCGAAATGAATCGGATCGAGAAATCGGCAGCCAAGTCGGGAGAAGTCGTATCGGCAGAGATCGGCAGGCTAATATGCCTCGACTGAGGAATCGGCATCCAAATCGGAATCTGAAGTCGAATCAAATCGGAATCGGAGGCCAACATATCGAACCGACTCGATTCGGAGGAATCGAAATGAGCCCTATGGCCTATGGGAGAACCGCGCTCACCCGTGAAGTGGCGGCCCACCTGGTTGCCCTCCTCCAGGGCGCAGCATCTAGCATCCGCTGCCGCTCCACACGGCAAGCTGCTGCCTCGACGACGCGGGCCCCAGCCCTGGTTCTTCTGGCACCGCAGGGGTCCGATCTTGCGACGTCCCCCTCGTCGAGGCCCCTGAAGGCCTGCGACCTGTTCTTGCTTGTGGATTCTTCGCCGCGGGTAATCTTCGTTGGGCTCCTGAGCCCCGGGGGCCCAGAACGTGGGCGAGCAACGACATATGTACATGTACGCCCTCCGCGGTCTTGCCTGCACGAACGTCCGCGTTGACACGCACTCCAGGGGAAGCTAACCGCGTACGTGTACATATGTTGCTGGCCTCTGAGAACGGGCCTCCAGATGGCGCTCCTCTCTGGACGCCAAGACCAGCGCCGCCGCCGCGCCGAGGCGCCGCGAACCTGCCGTGGCACAAACAAAGGACGCACAGAGGCACACTAATACTATATGTATATATATACATATATATACATATATATATATATGTATATATATATATATCCTCCTGGGAGGCGCGCGTCCGACCCGACCATATAGTATTCCCATCCTGTAGTATATGGTTCCTGGAGCGGCGTAGCCAGAAAGCGCCCGCCACGACGCATTTACTATGAGATTTCCGAGTGCGCGCGTCGGCGGGGCGACGCGACGCACACATAGTAAGAGTATGTTGGGGTGATGCCGAAGAGAAGTTCCTTTTTACCGCCCGCGCGCTCTGAGGAGCCATTCGCACGCGTGGAACTCGAATGGCGAGCAGCGAGAGGCGCCTGAGGTAGACTTCCAGGCGTTCGATCGTGGACCCCTTGCTGCCCGTTCGCCTGGGGCACTCGTCGGCCATCTGCGGGGGTCTTCGAACGGTCTCCAGCGGATTCCGGCGGTCTCCGGCGCGAAAGCTGCACGGCTGCGTTTATAGAAGACGAATAAACAGCATAAACTGAAACTTTTGGCGCTCCGGGCGGATTTCTTGGCTGCGCAGCGCGCCAGGGGCGGCGCCGGAGGCGCCGCCATGGGGCCCCAGCGCGGATCCAAGAAGTCCGCGCGGAGCGCCAAAAATTTATAGCGTTTTTCTTTTCTCCGAGTTTAGCAGAAGGGCCCATGATGGAACGCCAAGGACTTGATTACAGCCCCGTAGGGGCGAGGAACCTAGGAACGGAGGAGCTGGCTGTTGGCGGCGCGCACAATCGGGCGGGCTCCTCTTCGAGGGCAAAGGGGGGCTTCTCGGTAGGCGTCGGAGAACTCCACGAGGCCTCCGAAGAGCATCTCGGGAAGCTCGATCAAAACTTCCGAGGCCTCCCATGGGCCTCCAGGTGCCATTCGGACCTCGCTTGGACCTCCGGAGATCTGGACCCCTCCCTCTGGATCGGTTTTCCATCCCGAGTCCGTTTGTTGATCGTCCCGGGAAGTGCCCCCCGAGGCCGACAGTGTCAGAAAACCTCCCATCATGTTTTTGGACATTTCAAAAAAAACAAGACACGGGAACGCAACTAACTTGGACGCCCGGGATGAAGACGGAAAACATGGGTACGATGCCCAACAACAAATGTTGTCAAGCATCGACAGTGGC